GTGCTAAGGATTGGTGATGATATTCTTGAAAAAGTTACGCAGTTCTTGGGAGCCATCATAGATGAAAAGTTAAACTTCACAAGCCATGTAAATACAATTGCAAGTAAAGTATCTAAAATACAGGTGCTATGAATATTTTAAAAGCTTTTCTACCTTTTCAAGTACTTCTCATCATTTATAAATCACTCATACTGCCAACTCTCACTTATGGTTTATCAATATTGGGCTCGGCAAACAAAACTAATCTTAATAGAATTCATACACTTTAAAAAAAAGGCACTTCGCATAATTTGTAATGTTCATTTCCTTCACCCTTCAAGGCCTCTTTTTATTGCAACAAAAACATTAAATATTTTTGACTTATATGAAAATAATTTTTTAACTCTTATGTTCAAAAACAAAGGAGGAAAATTACCTGACTCATTCGAGGATTTTTTCCATACCTTTTAATCTCATCATAGCCACAATACAAGGAATAAACATAAATTTGTCATTAATTTCAAAAGAACAAACGTCGGGCAAAAATGCTTTTCTTACAGGGGGTCAAAGGTGTGGAACCAATTACCGGATGAGTTGAAAAATTGTAAAAATATTTGTTCCTTTAAATATAAATTAAATGAGAGGTATATGAGGGTTTACGAAAATGAGGTGGTTCGATGTAATATAAACAATTGTATATTTTGTAATAATCTTTTATCAACCACTTAAATAAATAATACATTAACTCTAATCATAATTGATGCCTAATCATATTGGTTAAAAATAACTTACAGTAATTCTTTAAATGTTAAATGTCATTTTCTACTAAGTTTTTATTATTTTATATAGGGCTCTGCAACTAAAAGCTTGCTTATTCGCAGAGTTCCTTTTTCACGAATTGATTGATTGTACTTATATTCTCTTTATTATTACGAATTATAATCACGTACTGTACAAATTGTTATATTTTATGACAAAAGTGAAATAAATATTACTTGAATTGAGTAAAACCTGCAAGACTTATTTTAAACACACATAACTGTTAGAACCACGGTCGTTAATAGATGAAAATTGTATGTTATTAAATATACGCGCGCTGTAAATTTATTAAATTGTAACAATTGATGGCCTGTAATGAATGAAGTTTAAAAATGTGTTCCATATTAAGAATATTGATGAAGAACTTCACTGAAGTTGTGATGGGATACCGTGTTTCTCGCGAAGTTTGTATAGCTAAATTCATTGGAGGTGGTATGTCCTAGGCCTAATTCCAACATTGCTGTTTCTTGGTATTATTATGCAACATTATTATGTTACTACATGGTGGTGGTTCTTGTTTTCTAATAAATGGCATCGCCAGAAATGTCGATTAGACCGTTTGCCGTTTAGATATTACTATAGAAATACAGTTACAAATAATTAGATTCAATTCGTTATTGCTGTCTGCCAGAAAAAAAAATACAAAAAAACCCAAAAAAAACTATGTATCATGGGATATGGACGTTACTACTGGTCGTAGTCACCCACATACTCCATCTAATCACAGATGCATCATAAAGGTAGGGACGTTACTCTAAGTTCCTATAGTTCCTATAGTCACCCAAACCTAATCAAAATAATATATACATCATGGTATAGTAACGTGACCGACATATCCTATAAAAAAATCATAGCATGATTAAAAGAGGTCTAGCTGTTTATCTATAACTGATAGTTATAGATACATTTATGTTGCCTGTTTTATAGAATTTAGAGTTTAGGAAGCACAGTCCAGGAAAAAGAGAATACAGTAATTCACTTTTTAAGAAAAAGGATAGAATGAAGCAAAAACCGAAACGTTTCACATGAAAAGAGAAAAATACAGTGTATGGAAGAGATTACAGTGAAGAACCGGAGTTACTAAGGTTAAAGAGGATCTAGAGGTTTGCAAGTGTTTGGTAAATTTTACAAATAGCATAAAGCATTTAAAACTGTTGTCTGATTTTGAAATAATTAATATGAATTCGGGAAAAAACTTTATATGTAGAATAAGATGTCGTGTCAAAATACTTTGGCAAAATAAAACTAAATGAGTTTACAAAATACAAGTTCGCATTTGAGACCGCAACCATATAGGCCTATGCGCGCAACAAGAATATTCTAGTGTTGATTAAAATAATGTGGGAGTTTTAGTGCAGATTGGTAAAATATTATGATGTGATTATGTCATTTAGAGGTTGTTGAAATGACAATACCTTGAATATTTAAAAGCAACAAAGGAAATCCTACAAAGAAGCAGGTGTAAACAAAATTGGATTTGCACAAATAAATATTCATTAGCTTATATTTAAGAAGGTGGAAATAACAAGCAGAAACTGCAATTGGCAAACACTCTAATAAATGATTTTTAAAAAAAACATAAAACATTGGCAAAAAAGAGAAAAAGTGCAATTAAAGTTTATCGACAATTGATCTAGTGATGAAGCATAACAAAAGCGGAACCAAGTTTGCTGCCTTGGACTACAGCTAATTGGGAATTTACTAGAAAGAACAACATTAAAAGCGGTTTGTTGAGTGCGGCTATGGAGCCATTTAGCGATTCAGTATATAATGTATGGTGAAGGGACGAAATAAATTGGAGGTCACTAAACTAAATACTGTATAAGAAGTTCATAAGGAACACAATCAAACTTCCGGTGGGGGTCAATTGTCGAGTCGTGTAAATTGTTTCAAGTGCGGAAGCAGAATTTAAATTTTGGCAAATAACACTAGATTTGCTCATTGAGATGGCATTTGAGACTCAAGAATTTTTCAGAACGGTGGCTACTGAGACATAATAATTGGAAAGATAGATTTGTCGTATGATTTGACAATTTCCAGTCACACGTAATACAACATACGGTAAGTGATTGAGTAACTACTTTGCAAAGGACTCAAGAATTAAAAAAAAAATGATAAATAAATTGCACAGAAAAAAGTTGTCTAGGGCTGAAAGCTAAAACACTGCACCGTCTTGCAAAAACGGAATGTATAAATAGGCCTAAATCAGATGCTATTATCATGGACTTATTAATAGGTCAATGCTATTATGTTATGCGTTATTATTAGGATGATGCTTTTTTGAAGGAAGGACGGATATTTTTAATTTGTCACCAATTAGCCCAGCTCGAGCCTTTCTTTAAGTGATTTATAGGACGCTATCATTATAACCTTTTCAATATCTTCGTTGGTGACTGGTAGAGCTGGCATGGAGAAATTATAATATATTTTCTCTATTGTAGTGGTAACAAATGTTAGGCCTATAGCTACGGTACCCTTGGTTTGCTTTAAAATTCTCCCTTGCATATAGTTTGTGTGAAAAATGACATGCTTCTCGTATACTCTTGCTAGTTTATATCATAAATTTCTTCAATGTTTAGGCCTATGTCATATTCGCGCTTTTATTGGGGGTGGGGGGGGTGCGCTCCCATTTCGTTGACTTAACATTCTCTTGGTGTCAGATACAGCAAGTTAATGGCATAATCGGCTGGCAGCACCAAAATACAATAATTCATTGTCGGCCTTAAATGTATTTTAATGAAATATCTGTAATACATTATGTGCATACCTTTACTCTCCGATATACAGCAAGTATCTCAATCACACACGTAATTGGACGTTAATATATTACTGTATATTCACTAGTCTGTGCTAGAATATTTATTGGCAACCAGTTGTACTGTAGACGTACTTACTGTGGTATTTTAAGCTTCAAAGTAACACACAACTTATCTAGTCTAACTAGAAAACTGAAACAGATTGATAGAAACAATTCAAACTGAAACAGATTGATAGAAACAATTCAACAGAAATCCACTCATTCACTGTTTCACCAAATCAGAAGGTCAGCTGTCTATTTATTCGTAGGCGTCATAAAATGATGAGGGCCTTGGCTTACATAAATAATTCAAAAAGTAGAAAGAGTGATATTGTATAATGCTAGGCTGTTGGTGAATGATTCTGGCCCAATGTAACGGGGACTAATTTGTAGAGGACACAGGCACTCTGAAATCAGAGAGTAACTACACACATGAAACGATATCGATCCAGTTCATTATCCAGTACACAACCAGAGATATACGGTATATTTTACAAAGATACATATATATACAAAGGTATATAAGGTTTCAACTCAGATTGTATTAGAAATTTTGCTAGTACAACAGTTCCGTCTCCCGTAAAGGTTGATATCCATTAGTTAAAATGATTATCTAAGCACTGGTAGTAAAATTTGTCATGCAGGCGCTTGCAGTAAAATGGTGCGATAAAGGTTTATATCCACTAGTTAAATGAGGTATCTCAGAAATTTCTTTTGTGAGCAATAAAGTAGCCTAAACAATCAAAGGTATGCTTCTCTTTACAACCTATAATCGAGGATCATTCACAAATATTTGTGATTCAGGCAAGAAAAATGCTCAATTGAAGTGTTGGTGGTGAGGGACAATGGACTCCCTTAGTAACTTTTCTCAGTCCCACAAAACGAAATCGTAGCTTACACGTACGGTATGTGGGATAACACGTGTTTGTGTAGAACAAGCATGTACCCCTAGCTCTGTTCTGAATGGTCATTTTTTAGTGAGTGTGACACTCCACAAAGGTCAATTTTTTCGCCTTTGTAACTGAAATGCGATGCTGTGATTTAAAGTCCAGTGCATACTGCATCACCAAACATTTGAATGCACAACGGTTTGTTTTCAACGGACATTGGGCTGTATTGGGCAAGCACAAAGAGAGCATTTTTTTTTTTTCATGTTTGGCTGACACATGGTGCACTAAGCTTTAGTACTGCACATTGGGCCAAGTTTCCATATAATCGCTACACGCTATCGCTGACAGCTTTTAGTGGTACTGATTAGTCGGTAGAATCGGGGAGCCTTCCAGACTGCATCGGAGACTGCTACACAGTACAACGATTGCACTGAAAACAGTGTAGCGATTTTAAGGAAACTTGGTTTTAGTTGTTATTCTGTTGCAAAAAATAAATAAACTTGAATGAATTGCTGTACTGTTTTTGGATAACATTTAATTATATCTTATACAGTTTTTAACATAAAATATTTTATTTTTAACATAAAAGCAAGATATAATAATATATTGTAATATTTTTCTTACTCTGATAGAAATCATAAAACATACAGCCCAACATAAAATTATGATTACTGGACAGGCTTGTATATGAAAACAATTTATTCGTCATTTCATATATTATCTTCTGGAAGGGAAAATAAAGGGAAAATCAACAACATTTTGACACCAGATTTGTGACCTTAAATCCAAAATGGCCATGTTGCATAATTTTTTATCTTGGTAGGCAGCGATAAATGCATCATCTTTGCACTGACTGGAGAGAGCCAATTATCTCCATTTCTTATTTAACCTTGGGTTTCTTTTTCATTTTCCCATGACATTTTGAGGTAATTTTCTTTCCAAGGGCTTCTTTTAGTTTCCTCTTATTTGGTTTCTTTTCTTCAATTGACTTGTCACTGTTTTTCTATGAAAGACATAATAAGAAAATGAAATTATTTTTTACAAATTATTATTAAAAACAATTTTTTTTGTTATACACAACTCACAATTTATTTAATAGACCGATTACAGCTGTTTACAGCTCTTTACATCTGGTCACAGAGCATATATAGTGTGTGTAACTATGGAGAACTTACAGCGATCAGTGTGAAAGTATAGGAAAAGGTAATGTTATGGTTGCAAAAACATCTGCCCACTATTAACGTGAGAAATAACTAGCAAGGAAAGGCACTATGATTGTTCAAAATAGTGTTCATTTACTTATTCTAGCGTTCTCTGTGCTTTGTATGCTTTGGAATTCATGTGATTCGTCATAAATCTTAGCTAGCCTAGAAATCGTAGCATGTCAAAATCACAATTCGTGGATCGAAGACTCTTGTGCATACCTAAAGAGGCTGTAGACATGCTGGGGCCTAGGCCTGGCATTTGTTGAAAAATCTCAATGTTTGGGACCAGTATCTCTTGGGCATTAGCAAACCATTCTGGCAAAATTCTCAAGTTCAATTTCCCATCAATTTAGTATAGTTTACTGGCATTCCAACCAATATTATTCAACATAAAATATGTGCAGAAACACTCCGAAGAAGACAAGCGGTTTTTTCTATTACCAAGTGTCACTCGCACTGCCAGTTTGCAAATTATACCCACTGAATAACCTAGCGGAATCTGTCTATTGGTTAATTGTTTATGATGGTATTTCTGTACCTGTTTCTTATTATACTTAGTTGCCCAACTTGTTTTATCTTCTTGCACCCAAAATGCTAATGGTTGCATAGGTGTTCATCACAATGCCTTCTTTTGTAATTGAGTTAATGGACCTTACTAAATTGTACAATTTCTTTATATGTTATATATTATGTTACTTACAGTTTGTTTTAAACCTTTGGGTTTCTTGCCATTTTGTCTTGATTTATTACTGGTTGGCACTGCAGTTACCATTTCATTATCTGCATCTTCACTATTACCTTCTTTTTGATCAAAAGGACCAAATAATTCAGCTGTAAAAATTATAAAAATATTTTTATATTCAATGCCTATTTTCTTTGAATTAAAGATTAAATTGGCTGTATTATGAGTCGGCACTTGTGCTTTTTATGCATCCTTTGCACTCTAAACTAAAAATTACAGGCAAAACAAAAGCATTACTACCATATCTTGTGTAGAAGACGAGGCTTTAAAAAGCAAATCGAAAAACAAGGAGTCGTCTTATACACGCAGCACATACATTTTAAAAATTTAAATCATGTTTGTCATTCGTGCGTAATAAAGTGAAGCTACTACAGTAACTGTTGGTATGAATGAACTCAATTTTAAATGCGAGAAATAAGATTGTGATGAACATTTAAAAACCAATAAAACGGTATTACAGTATTTAGAAGATTAGCCGTATATTTGACTCCGTTTTTAGTCAGCTAGATGCAGTATAAAGAGCAGCAAAAAGTAGGAATTCCGACAGTGAAACAGGGGTCACCTTATACGCGGAGCGCCTTGTACGCAAGAATATACAAATACAAAAAAAACATTACTTTAAACATTACTATGAATTTTACTGCAAACATTACTCTAAACCTTGCTATAAACATTACTATAAACTTTTTGAATGAAAGAGGCAGAATGTAACTGGCAGCTGAGATATGTACAGTATAATGAACTAGTACATTAGCCTCAGTGATAGTATAAGGTGAAATATTATCATCTTACGAGGGTAAAGGTCACTTAAACTGTCCTCCGATTCCGCATCACTTGACCCTGAGCCATCGCTTGCTGTCCAGCCCTCACGTTTCCTTAACTCTTCTTCAGGGGCATTATGTTTCTTTGGTTTGTTTGGCTTAAAGGGGATGCCTAGTCTTTGACATTCCTCATCTGTATAATAAGAAAGAAGAAATGATTTATTTTGTAGACAAAAAGCACATGGTGAATAACAAGCGGTACGAGTAAAACATATTTACATTTTTTCAAAGCTCTGTTGTATCGTCTTCCATTCACATGTCTTTCAACATCCTTTGATTCTTTGCTGATGTGTCGAAATGTCAGACGACAAAACAGTTGATGTCTGAAAATAAATGAACAGAAAGAATTCATCAAAAAAGGGTGCTACACTTTCAAAACAAGTTAGAGAATTAGAGAATATACCACATATTTGTTTCATTCACTTTTTTAACCATAGGCGGATTCATGGTGTCAGATTTGTCTGATCGTATAATTTATGTTTGTTTTACTCAGATTACACCTGTCAATTTCCATGTCTATTGCAAGTCAGAGAATGCTCTAATTATTTTGACTGCACATAATGCTTTCATTTTATAAGTTGATTGACTGATGATAATCAATATCAGAAATGTTAACATTCATTCATTTTACAATAACAAAAAACATGACTACACTTACTCATGTCCCTTTTTAAAACTTGGAACAATATGCTTTTCATGAGCCATAAAATCAAAATCACCCTCTTTGCGTAACCTTTTGTACTTTTTTCCTTGCGTGTATGCTGCAATGACCTCAACCTTTGCAGGCATCTCATGACCTGACAGGTTACATTTTACCTGTAAAAAACAAATATTTAAATTTCGGTACAATGACTACAGTATAGTATTCATAAACACAGCATTTTTGTGATGTTGAGTGAGGTACGCAGCCACCATACATAACCAAGCCAATTATTTGTAAAAGCAATAGGCCTACAAGCCAAAAAAGATAGGGTACTAGGCCTAGCCTGTCTGCTAAGCCATAAACTTAAAAATAGTTATTCAAATTCTACAGTTAAAGCCATATTAAAATATATTTATTGCCATTGTTTGCTTGATATGGATTTAGCACTCAGCACTGACCTTAGGCAGAATGAAAAATTTATAGTTAGGTCTAACTCCCGGACTTTGTCTAACCTAGGCCCAATCTGACAATGATCACTTCCTCACGTTAAATTACCAAAACTCTCAATCATTATTCCAAGAACCATATCCAACCAATGAGCAAGGCTAGCCTAGCCTAGGTGTTCCGATGGCGACGCGTTCGTTTATTATACTGGTATTATACTAGTAACGCCTGCCTACCTACCTTTTTACTATCATTTATAAATTCGAGAGATGGATGTAATTTTAAAATATCATTGATTTCCGACATAATTAATAGCAAGGATGTCTGACGCCCTTTTCTTTCGACCACACGCGACACATGTACACATGACATGACATGTACCCAAGAGTACTGTATATATGACCTCCACTCCAGGTATATATAAAAAGTATGCCAAAACCAAAACACGCTTCGGTGATCATGTTCGATCTCCATAACCACGCTACGTCTGTTTGGAGTCTACTATTTCACTTCAGGTAGCTGGGGGGGGGGGGGGGGGGGGGGGGTGGCGCACGTTGATGGTATGAGGCGCCAAGTGTAAATTTATTATTTAACACAATTATTTATATAAATAATTCATTATTTAACATATAATTGAATAGATTACCCATTATTTATATATAATGCATTTACGTCTAAAAGATTATATGTAAATAATTGCGTTAACGTTTCATTATTTATATATAATAAGGTTACTGGCTTCATTATATATAAATAAGGAAGGAGTAACACATCATTATATGTAATCGTGAGGGCATGGTGAAGGCTGGTTACGATTTGGTGGCACAATGTTTGAGCATTTTCATTCATCTGGCCATGTAAGTCAGTGGCGTATCTAGATGTCTTAAAATGGGAGATGATGGGTGGGGGGGGGCGAATGTGAAGGGGTGGGAGTGGGGGGTATCGATGATCAGTTCAGGGGCGCTCTTTTTAACTACTTGACCGTGATTTGAAACCAGTGTCAGTATAATAGGTAAGCATGTGGTTAACATAAGCAAGGATTTAGTCCAATGATACTGTTTACCATCTTGATACCTTCCGACGAAAATTGACCCTACCGGCGTCACCACGGCGTCCCCACCGATCGTTAGTAACGTGACGTTGTTATGTGGGTGTTTTATATATTATTGAGAATAGTGATATCACCGAAAAAATTGATAAAATGAAAGTTGAATGACCAACAAAGACAATTGAAGACAATAGTTTGTCATTAGAAGTTATTTAGTATAACTTCATTCGGAAAATTAATCTCAAAATCGAGTTGCCGTCCCTGGCGATGATTTGTGTGCGAGTTTTACCAATTAACCCTAAAGTAAAAAATAGTTGAGCCATGTAGTACCTTGGAAATCAACCCAGTAGTTTGTTGATTGTTTATTGGTAGCGTCCCTTCGCTGCCAAAAATAGTTTTTTGGCAGTTGCGTCCTGTTGACATCCCTTTTCAAATGTTAAAAAATAACCAACATAAATTTTAAGTATTAAAGTGCCATTCTCCAACTTTTTCTCATGCAGCCTCAAACATGACGGGGCTCAGGTGGATATAGTAATTTTCCACATAGAAAAAATTATTAAATCATCACTGTTTTAAAAAACAAATCAATGGGGGGGGGGGGCGTTTGTTTTTTTTCCTCTATTTTTTCCCTTTTTTTTTTTTAACGAACAATTGATTATTTCGCTTTTCTTTTTATTGGTAAGGAAGGGACTGTTTATATATGGCTAGTAACAGTAAATATTGTATAAAAACTGGTTTAATTTTATAGTTTTTTAAAGAAATGTATGTGAAGTCACAAGTTTGCATTGTGTTATGCTGTTAAAATAATTGATGCGGCAAATTGTGTGTCCAATGGTTGCCAAATTGGCTATAGTGGGACACAGTGATAAAGTACAACTGTCTTCTTCAATATTAATTAATATAAGCCGTTTATGAGATTTTGTAATGGACTGCTTTTTACCTGTCTCTTATACACATCTAGATGTGCATTGTGTATTTCTTCTTACAAAAGCTTTCTTATCAATGTACCGATCGGACGGATATGTTACCAAAAAAGAAGAAACTCTCACTTTTATCTTTTTGATCATCGACACTGCTTTGATTTGATTCGCTAATAAGTTTAGTAGTTCTTCCCATTATGGGCTTCCTAGCTTCCAAAAATGTTTCCGGAAGTCATAGTCTCGTTTGGTCCAGGAATATTGTGTTTTTTCCACATTGTTGAAAATTAATAAAATTCTGAAATTCTCCAATTACAGATAACATGGTAAAGTAAATTTATGTATAAGGATTGCTTTGTAACATTTTAATGTATTCCAATGTAATTCTATGTAATTTTCATCATATTAGGCCTATTTATTATAGCTCTGGAGTTGGAACATCACCGAAGTCCGTTTTTGGTATACCAAATAGCATTGGCATGGCCAAATATACCTCAGGCATGGCAATATTATTGTGCGCCCTCTTTTCAAGAAACTTTTAATGGCATACATACCCATACCCGCAAAACAATAGTAATAAATAAATGGAAATAAAATAATTAAATAGATAAAAACATAAATAATAATATTAAGTTGGTAGTTCTAAAGTTAAACTCTTGAGTACTTACTAACGAATTAGCATGGTGGTGGAGAGTAGATGATGGACTAGTAGTGGGCCTGTGTAATTTTGAAAAATGCCTTATTCACTATTTTGTGTGTCCTATCTATATTATAATTTAACGTTTGCTTCATGCTGTGTTTTGTGTTCTTCAAAAGCGTCAGTGGAAATAAGTATTCTATAATGTTTTGCAGCTATCCTTGCATCTCTTTTTTTTGTGGGGAGGGGGAGATTTTTTTTATAAGACTAAAGGGTAAGATTAACTACAGTATTTGCAAAAAATTAAATTGATAAGATTTATTGTATGCCCTATGTTTTGTTGTTATGTATTATAATTACAATATGTTGAGATGCAAATAAATCACAGAGAAGCCATCAAATACCATGTAATCCGGTATGTAGCTAAATAAGAGTGTTTCTAACTTACTGGAGATGGATGTTAGCCTACTTAAGACATAGAGGAGTTAGGCTTACTTTAATTTGAATATACAGCACTTCTATCTTCCCTTTTGATATTTGTAAGGACGTTTTTGTTTTTCTAGGCATCGTGTACTGTGCTGAAAGCATAGGCGTAGATCCCGGGGGATGGGGATATATCCCCCCAATATTTGACAAGGGGGGATGGTCCATTGTATCACCCCCCCCCCCAATATTTTGACTATGTATGGGATAAAATGGAGCTTTACACACTTCAAAAGACTGTCACAGAAATAATTTGCACTGTCCTATGCGCTTACAAAGATGAAAATTAGCGTAATGTATTAATGTTGATAACAAAATTTATCTGGTACCAATCTAAGCTCTGATTTCCTTAGATGTTAGATGTGCTTGCAAAGAGAGCCACATTTCACACTGAAGGGTTTGTACATCAGTAATGTTATGTCAATTCCAAGAATGTTTAAAGTTATATCGGTTGATGAGGAATTTATTGATTAGGCCTATAATAGTAAATTGCATCAATTTATTTTGCAAAAACAAGGTTTCCAGCTTCAGAAGGGGGGGGGGGCATATCTCTTGTCCGCACAAGGGCACACATTGGCGCTAACACCAGGCGCGTAACAGGTGTCTTGGGTCAGAGTTGGTATTTATTTTTATTTATTTATTTATTTTTATTTCAACCATCTTTAAAGAGGGTAACCCTTCTAGTTTAGCCCAGTAGGTTAACTGATATTCAGGGGCCCTCTTTAATAAAATTAAAGAACAGTACAAACAACATCATTACAACATAAT